ACATTTTTGCAAAGGAAATTGTTGTTCAGAATCGTCTCAGCTACCCCCCATTTCCGGCTCCTCCCCGAGTTTTGGGACACCCTGTATAACATATCATAATCCATATAACCGTTATATTATAACGACTAGTGTCTCGATTTAAAGTAACAAGCACTTGCTAGTTACCATAGTATCCGATTAAATATTTACCGGTCGGCGAATGGTCGGTGAGCGTTGAGGACAAAAAGCCGATTAATCGGCTACCGGTTGGTAAAGTGTTGAGACGAAAATGCGAATTAAATAAATCATACGAACAGAGAACGTAAAACATAGGAAATAGGGAAATTATTTTATTACTTAAATCTAGTCGTGGTAACATTGTCGCTAAAAAACAGAGATTGCAATAAATACTTAAAATCATACTCAATAAATTATTGATATTTCATTTTGTATGAATGATATTCGATTCAACGAATATATTTTTATTTACAGAGGAAGATTGCAGTGGTTGTATAATTAATAAACCAGTACATCCTGTGACTCCTCATGTTAGACGGAGTAGAATAGGGTCTACTAAAAAGGAAAATTGATGAAAATGATCCGCAAATTGATACCGCAAAAAAACGTCGTAGAAAGGTAATAAGTTTTTACTTTGTATTCATTTAAAATATTGCATAAATATAATTTTATACTGATACAATTTTATTTCAGCCCCTGAACGAGTCGGAAGATTAAAAGACAGAAAAATATAAATCTGTAAATTAAAACAGTTTTAATTGTAGCACATCGTATAAATTTGTACACTCGGAATAATGTTTTTATATATTAACGATTAGAAATGGTTTTATCCGGTTTAAGTTATTTCTATTGTAAATATTTGTTTCAACTTTTTAATCGAAGCACGAAAATGTGTAATCTAAGTATTGTTTTAAGTATTATTTTTCAATGATACCAAATTTTTAAGTAATTGCGTATCTGTATAGTCCATAGTGTGTGTGTGTGTGTCCCTGTAGTTGCGGGTACAGGAGGTGGAGCCAGAAACCACTCACCATCTAGCGGCAGAAGTGGGAATTATGTTCAATCGCTAGGTGCTACTTGAAAATGATGAATCAGTAATGATCTGTGGGCTGTAAGTTTGACGTTTTAGGCGGAAGCAAATAACAATTAAAAGTATCGTTCCCTCTCTTATTGTTTCTTAATTCGGCAAAATGAATAGGCTTTTCGGACGGGCTAAGCCTAAAGAACCGCCTGCGAGTATTACCGATTGTATCGCTGGGGTAAGAATTCCTTTTTGACATAATACGAAGAAGGTTATGTTATAATTCACATAATTCAAGACGTATATACATTCAATGTTTTTCGTAGGTTGACAGTAGAGCAGATTCTGCTGAAAAAAAGATAGCAAAATTAGACGCGGAATTAAAGAAATACAAAGATCAAATGGTTAAAATGAGAGAAGGTCCAGCAAAAAATGCTATAAAGGCTAAAGCTTTACGAGTTCTAAAACAACGAAAAATGTATGAAGCTCAGGTAGATAATTTGCGTCAACAAGCATTTAACATGGAACAAGCAAATTATGCTACTCAAACGTTAAAAGACACTCAGACAACTGTAATCACTATGAAAGAAGGAGTTAAACAGATGCAGAAGGAATTCAAAAATATCAATATAGATCAAATCGAGGTATTTACAAAGAAATTGTTCTTTCATTGTGATATTATTTTATTTTATAATTTTGTACCGATTGATAATACATTATGTAGGATCTTCAAGATGATTTGGCAGACATGTTGGAGCAAGCAGACGAAGTACAAGAAGCAATGGGTCGCAGTTATGGTATGCCTGACATAGACGAGGATGAATTAGCTGCCGAATTAGAAGCCCTTGGAGATGATTTAGCTATAGACGAGGATGCCAGCTATTTGGATGATGCTATAAAAGCACCTAGCGCCCCTAACAAGGAACCTGGCACAGATTCTGTGAGGAATAAGGTTTGTACTTAACTCTAACCTAAACAGTGTTCGTACATTTATTTTCACCTTCAAATTTCTTTCAGGATGGTGTCTTAGTCGACGAATTTGGCTTACCGCAAATACCTGCCAGTTAAAACAATATTAAACAAAGTATTATACAAATAAAAATGAACAATATTTACCGATATGCCCAAAGATGTTAGGTCCTTTAAGGACTTTGGAATGCTTTTTTACAAAACACACATATAGGCAGCCTCTCAACTATTCTAACTGTTTCGATTATCTAACATAACTGTGTTATTACAAGTTATTTTTATTAAGTTTTACGTTGTAAATATATATAAATCAAATTAACAAAATAAATTTTTCTTATTACGAGTTTAGTAATGCATCATGGAATCGAGATTAAATTATCTTCAGCCGAGAAATATCTATTTGATTTCTATTTTGTAATTCTGCATATTGTGCCACTAAATTTGTAATTGTCTCCTTACTGTCGGTAAAATATGTTTCTTCGAAACCCTGAACTTTCGTGTAGTGATGCACATGTGCCTGTAATGTAATCTTATTATTTTCTGCTTTAGGAGGTATGCATATTATACATTGTTACCTTTCTCTTATATAATGTAGTAAATTGATTTATAATATTTTTAAACAATGATGACATCGCAGTTGAGTTTAAGAGACATAACACAGAGGCTGAGTGTCCAGCTGGAGGTATGGAACACAAACCTAATTTCATAGCTTCTCTGCTCCATTCCGTGAACTTGAATTTGTCTTGAAACCTAAGAAGGTAAATGTAATTATGCACTGTTAATTATCAAATTCAGAAGCCGATAACACGGCAAAACATACCTTTCAATATTTCGTTGTAAATCGGTCATAGAACAATTTCCTCTTGCGATATGTGCGGCACTTAGAATTACAGAACTTGACCGTAGCGGATCAACTTTAATCAACTGATTCTTTCGTGACCATGCATTGACAAACAATTCATCTTGCAATCTTAAAATTATAAATAAGGGTTTCATTATCAAATGTAATAACATTTAAGGTTGATACATACTTTGTCCCTTGCATAGTATATATCGTTGGTGCGGTTAAAGCTACCGGACTAACGCTGCTAAATATATACTGTAGCTTCGGATATGCTACAAGATTCGTTGCTATTTCATTCATATCCATATTTAAAACACCAGGAAATCTAGATCCGCTAAAGAAAATAATCGGTTATCTTTAGTCGCAAATTAATATTTTTCTTCGAGCCATTGATTACCTAGTTAAATGAAGAAGCATATTCACAACGATACTGTTCATATCTTGAAACGGTTTGCACGATACATTGTAATTTATCTGATCCATATTCTCTTTCTTATTTAATTGTGAGGCACATATGTCTAAAAGCGATGTATTTTCAATTGGAAATACGCACGTTGCGTGTTCCATAAGTTCGCGCGTCGCTAATAATGCATTATATGGAGCTGTAACAACGTCTTGCATAATTGTTGGATATATGCAAGATACTAATCTGAAAAATGCTAAATGTAAGAAAAGCATGTAGATTTTTATTTTGTAAAAGTACCTGTCCACATTAGGATAGAGGTCAGCTATCAATTTTAAGGTAGCTGTTCCTAATCCAGAACCAGTACCACCTCCAAGGGAATGCATAAATAGAAAGCCATGTAGTCGACAACATTTTTCTACTGTGCGCCTAATGCTATCCTCTAATTTATCATGATATTCTGTACCATGAGTATAATAACCTACAGCCCTAAAAATTACATTCGTGAATGTTTTTTATTAAAAATTGCAGTAGTAATTGAAACCTAAACAACCGATTACCAATTATTCCCAGATCCTGGATAATTTGTTACAATACAAGTTTCATCGAATAAATTGTTTAACGGACCTTTCTTTAATCCTGCTATAACGCTATCTTCCATATCTATTAGGATTGCCTAGATGACAAGAAATTCATGGAAACTTATTAATTTATATATTGTAGTTGATTCTTGTGTAGCAAGCAATCAAAAAGTAAACATACCCTAGCTTTAACTTTAGCTTTTTTTAAATCAGTTATAGTTTTAAAGCACTTATCATGCGAATTATCAGGTATAGAAAAAAAACTATGAAACGCATTGCATAAATCATTTGTAGTTTTACTATGGGTACGTTGTGTTTTCAGTAAATTCACGGGAGTATTCGTTGATTGTATACCATACTCGTGTAATACCAAAGGCCAAAATGCTGAACCGATTTGATTCCCGCATTGTCCAACTACAATTCGTAAAGACAGATGTAATTTATACCAAAATATATATTTCAAATCCATTTGTTTAATCGTAATTGTATACATAAAAGGAGTAATTTACAAATATTTATGCGACGAGATTACTGTAAATATAAAATAAACGTACCTTGTACCGTGATAAATTGGCTCATAAGTGTTTAAATGTCTGGACCACTAATGTTTTCGATACTATTTGCGTATTTTAATATTTACTAGGTTAAAATGTAATTTTGAATTACTGATAGACTCCCGCTATTTTTCAGTTTGTCCTGCGAAGTTTGGAACTGAAAGTAACAAACATAACTAACAGCTGTATCTCGAAGCTCGAATTTCAAATGATGCAACACTACATTCACAATGTCGTAGTCATGTGTGTTCTATGTGTATATATATATAAGTTTCTAAATTAAACGAAAGATTAGAGTAATCGGTATTTATAAGATTAACAAAATGGGCTATAGAATAGTTCAGTCATTTAGTGTAATTACATGTTTACTTTTCCTCAATTATTTTCTTACGGAATCTGCATCGACTTCGGAATCGAGTAAGTAATTCTAACCTATACATTTTGTTACAGTACATATGCCGATATAAATATTGTTAAAAAGTATAAGCTTAACAGAAAGGAAATATCATTTATCGCGTATCATAACGTTTCTTTAATTATGATACGATGTTTCTAAGACAATTAAGTTCAATATCCTTTAAGAACTCTTATTTTACAATTAATATTCTTTAGCATTATAAAATCCATTTACTTGATAACACAATAGTACTTATTATAAAATTTATTATGAAGATTGATGTTATTAATCATAAAGTTAAGTATAATATTATCGATAAGAATATCGCAAGCATACGTTGCATCCTTCTCTTGTTGTTAGAAATATTTTCTAGTGAAAATATGCTGAATTTATTTTTTTTTCTTGATGTCTTCCAGTACACTTTTTAAAACCAGGAGATGTTGTTACAAATGACAAACCTGGATTACAAATATTTTGCCACAGTGCCAATACAAAATATGTGATACATTTATGGAGAAGTTTAACCGTAAGGAATACTACCGTCCTAAGCCAAAAAGACATATTTCGAGTGCTTATTTGTTTGAAATATGTAAAACGTAGTCCCAGTTGCTCCGAAATGTATAGATATAAGTTGAGAAAAATTGGGATACGCCTTTTTGTCTCAAGACATCGAAATAACACTTTGAAATTAATCTATAATCCATAGATAAATTTATATAGCATCGTAACGATAGCATTTTATCAAATTGTAGATGCATTTAAACATAAACATAGATAATTATGATCTTTACGATGGTAAAAATCAACAAGAAGTTGTAGAAAAACACGACGATAATCAGCGATCCTGGCGTTTTAATTTGTTCGGTACAAAAAGGAGTAACAAATTGAAAATCAATCCATTCGAGGATATGTGCGTGGGCGTGTACGTGTATCCTTCTCATGTACATAAATATACAATGAGCATGACACAGACACGTGAGTGTACAGAGAAACTAATTTATTGCAAGTTTACTACGAGACTTTTAAATGCTCGTTTTCATGTTAATAGGTGTCGACATATGGAAATTAATGTTAACGATCCTAGGGATCACGATATATTGGAACGCGTACAAATTAAGCGGAAATCCATTATTTTATTATTTAAGCGGTATAATGCTTGGGATCACTACGTCGATTATAATATTAGTATATTTTGCTAGCAAATTATTACCAAGGGTAAATTATCTCGTTAACAATTTTCTGAATACCTACTTTAAATGATTTCTTTTCGTATGGTTAATACATAGATATAATTGAAGGGTAAAGTTATGTATTTGATGGTTGCCACTGGTTGGACGATGAGTTTTTATCTTCTACAAGGATTATGGGAAAATGCACATTTGATCGCAGTACAATACAAAGAATACGTCGTATGGTACATCTTAGGAACATCCCTTATAAGCTTTGTTATTTGCTATCGTTTCGGTCCTGTCACAAACCCAAGAACGAAAAAACTTATCGAATGGTTTCTCCAGGTCTGTACAACTTGTGCGTGTATTAGATAAAGCTAACGATGCAGTTTCTGAAACGCAATTTAATCCGTGGTTTCATCTGTTTATTTAGATAGGGGGATTGATTGCGATTTATTATAGCAGTTACTTTCGCGAAGCATCGTTTTTCTGTTGTATCGTAATGGTTCTCCTTTATAATTTTCCAATTATTTTAATTCGGAAAGGAAAGAATTACTGGTAAGTTTGGTTCATCGACAGTATTAACATCGTTAAGTTTGCGAAAAAAATGTTGCGAGAGGATTAATAGCAAAGAAAAATAAGTTTCTACCGAACAAAACTAACGGGATCAATGTTCCTTCTTTTGATTTATCGTTTGTATTCTTTTTAAACAGTTTAATGTTTGTTGCGTAAACATTGTTTAAATATCATTAATTAAAAATTCATTATTATAAACTGTAATAATATTCTTATTTCTTATACTTTGTATTTGTGATAATAAAGTAAATTGGATTTATTTATATTATACATAGATGTATGTAGTTAGTAGTAGTAGTAGTAGTAGTAGTAGTAGTAGTTTGAAAAATCGGACGCGTATTTATACGTATGTATGAATGTATGTGTACCTGTTTGAAATCAGGAAGAATATGTTTCCTGAAAGGAGAAAGTTATTAACCGAGGATCAATATCGTAAAGAAGGTATAAGGGAAACTAATAAAGCGTTAAACGAGCTGAAAGGATATTGTTCTAGTCCCGAATGTAATCCGTGGAAAACAGTTCTAAGATTAAAGGATCCCATAAGGTTTTTGTATAGAAATATTTTACGAGCCGAAGAACAAGTTACAATCGAACATGCTCGTTACGCGCATCTTAACTGAAATGCACGTATTTTTAGGTTTGCCAAGTTTATGGAAGGTGAATCGCATTTGTCGGATGACGAGTCGCGAGACCACGATGCCGAGATCACAAGAATTATAGAGGAGTGCGAATATACGGACGACGAAGATGATTACTGACGAAATTTCCGTAGAACATATTCGCGTAAAACCTATATCGACAAATACAAATTCGAGTACCACGTTTTACCACGGAATACATGCATACACGCAACGGCGTCTAGTGCATTTTCATTACTTTATTGTAAATGATCATTGTGTCTTTAATCAGGATAATTATTACTATGTTAACGTGTTGAATGTCTTTTGAAAAATAAAATTGTTGAGTGTAATTCTCGTTGCTAACGCTGTTTAGCATCGAAAGTATTTAGTGTATACGATAAACAATTTCGATCGATAAACGAGAACAGCCGCAAATTAAATAGTCGTTGATTGGGCTCACAGTTTGTTGCTATCTTATTCTTGATGATGCATCGCAAACGCAGCTCCAATTATATTTTCAGGAATAAGATTTCAGGAATAAGACTCGGAGAAAATAAAATTTCCATTAATTAATTAATGTTTCATAGCAGGAAAGGAATGAATTGACAGATTCGTCATTGTTCGCAGATAGGAATACGTTCGAACACACGTTCTCGTTTACTTCTCGCAACTACATCCCAGACGAGACGTTTTCGTGCCAACGGGTAGAAACGTCGCGTCGCACGAAGACCCTTTTTTCGCAAACTTTCCACCGCGAGATAAGCGAGAAAAAGCGAAAGCTTTGTTCAAGGAACAGGATGTGGGTCAGCAGTAATCATCGGGAGTCCCTTTTACCCTTTTCTCCTCTTCCTGGTGGATGTACAGAATAGAAGCAGGACAGTGTTTGTCGCACGAGCAACGACCGTTCGTTTGTTTTCCTTGGAGCTTTCCGCTTTCCGCTTTCCGCTTCCCGTTTTCCGCTTTCTTTCCATTTTGGTTGGGCTGCTTTCCGCAAGCACACCAGCAGGGTTATTACTTCCCCCGCAAACAACTTGCTCGTCCTGGAAAATCACGGAACGCGTGCATCTACGCTTTTGCTTTTCGCAACATTTTGTCATACCACTCGGTCGCTAGTCTGCCCTCGTTGGTCGTTTTATCAACACGCTCTACTACCTGCCGAACAATTCTCTACATATACGACATCTTTCTTATTTCAGCCATCGTTAGAAGCTAGAGATTCAAGAGAAGAGTTCGTACCGTCCAAGAGACACGGTCAAGTTGTCCACCTACCGGCTATAGAATGTCTGAAACTCAGCGATTCGGATGGAGGAGACTTTGGGTTCGGAGATGCAATTGCTCTGCACCCGCGTAGATAAGAGGTTCGCATACTTGGCATTTCATTTAACGGCAAGACACGCCTCGAATCACTATTAACGCCGTGCGCAGACTCTCGACCAGCCAGTGCGTACGTACGCGTTTGCTTTCTCCGATGTTCGGCAAATTGTCATCAGCCGGCAAACAACACCGACAGGTGGTCCTCAATCGGACACCTTGCAAAAAGCTTCGACTTGAGCATCGACGATCGACGCGTATGCATGCGGCTTCGGTGCATTCGCTCGATTGATCATATTGGATTACAAATTGCCAAGGAACGTCCACGGATTACGAACCACGTTCGCGCACAAACGGTAACAAGTTTTGCCTTTCCTTTCGGCAGCTGAATCTTCCTTAGAATTTAATTAGCTAGCGTTTCGAACGAACATCACCTTCTCGAAAATTGATCAAACTCTGTAATTAATATTCCAGAACGATAGATGGTCGTTTTTCACTTTGAGAAACAAAAAGTTAACGTAGCTTGCAACAGCTGTCTAACGGCGACTCTTGTTCGCTCCGACTTTGACTTTGGAGTTTCGGTAAAAGCACTTTCGACATTTACGTTTGTAAATACGTATTCCAAAGATTTCATCTAAGCGCATTCCGACCCGACAATTTATCGAAAATTGTACGAGAATATTTTGTAAGAGCGTGCTATATCGAGAAGTAAATTGTGCGCTCGGTCGAGCGGCCCGAGGAAGCCACGTGATCGGCAGGTGGGATTGGTGGCGGTCCAAAGGGCAGAAGCAAGATCAATAAGAAAAAGACTGGTTTTCCGTGATGCATGGCGCACCTGCTCTCCGAAGCGACAGAAACAAGGAGAGCGGTGGATCCGATCTCGTTCGCGATTCTTTACCAGAAATCTCGAGCTTTGCCGGTTGACGGATCGAGATTATTTTCTTACGTATCGAAAAATCCATCGCACTAACGCGTTCGCCAGGAATCTTGACGACGGTAAAATTTTCAACGAATATTTCACCCTATGCAAAAGCGATTGCATTTACGTTGTTCCTTACCTCGTTATCGTCTTACCATTAACGTCGACGTTACTTTATACGCGAAATCTTCGCTTTTAATCTCGGACGAAAAGGAAGATGGAAAGAAGGGTGGAGGTTGCGAACGACCGAAGGAAAAGGAACACGCGTTCCTTCGCGGAAAGAATATTTTCTTCCAAGCGACGGTGATTCATAGCGACGAGAGAATAAGAGATGGGAAATTGGCTGACCCAGCAGCGAAACGACGTAGGTCTCCGTGTCCAAGTTTCTTGTTCGCGCTACGCGTTTCAAACAACCGACGCTGTGCATCCAATTATACGGGCGAGTGCATCGGTAGATTCAGCCAACCGCGTTACAGACCGTGAGCGTAACCTTCGTTTCTCCTACGAACTGTTGTTGAACCGGCTTGTGAAAGATAATTACTAATTTCTTTCAAGATTTGTTCCTAATCGAGGAACGCTGGTTTTTATTAGTAGTTTAATCGTCGTATATCCGCGTTTGTCAAAGTTTGTGTCATTTAAACGCGATTCCGAATTTCCGATAGAGTCGACCGGTGCGAGCGTGTGGCTTAACCGATCATAATCGCGCGCGACCCCCCAAAGAAAGAAAGCTGGGCCCTCGAGAGACCTCTCGAGGGACCGGAAGGGTCTGGCCAAGACCCCAGCGCGTGCCATCTGCCGACTAGTTGTTCGGGTATCGGTCGTTCTTTGCTGGTTGCTACGAAATAGCCACTGCAGCCTTTTAAATCGACTAATTCGGCAATCTCGTCGTCGCGTCGCGTCGCGTCGCGTCGCATCGGTCAGCTGCATTGTCGACGGCCTTTTCGAATTGACGTCTCTTTCGAGTCGATTTAGAATCTCGTGCAATTTCATCGGATACTTTTCTTAAATTCTCGCAGCCGTTATACTTTTGCAAATCGTCCCGTTCGTTGGGATAGGTAAGCTATTACGAGCAACAAAGGATTCGCATTCGTTTCTAGCGCCACTTTTAATAATTCGCGTAAGCACGATCGATTTTACTCGTTCTATTGTTGCGCAGCCGGAGAAGCGAACTGAACTCCGTCTCGGAATACGTTTTCATCGTGGAATTCTATTAACGTCACCAGATATCCTGAAAATGACAATAACAAGGAAGACCACGTGAACGTAGCGAATTTAGTCTCCTTTTCAATCTTGTACAGAAACGTTATCGACGATACCTTTGCGGAGTGGCAGTTTACGTTTGTCGATGTCAATTGGATATACCCCAATCGTAGATCATACCCATCACCTACATCGGTGGAATGGTAATAGCATTAAAAAAGGACCTTTGTGCCAATCAACCGACCGCTCTCCCTTCGGGACCAACGACGATTGCATCGAACTTTGAAACATTAATAGCCAGAAAAGTAAATAATGCAGCTCTTTGACCAGTCACCCTTGCCAACTACCTGCTCTCGCATCGTATGCGAAATATAGCGGATCTGTTTCATAAAGATGGGAATATATGCTTGCGAAACATTAAACGATATTTGAATGTACGTAGATCCGAAACGCTGGAGGTTGTCGAACGTTGAACTCGAGCCTCGATAGAAAGGGTAACTCGTCGTAGCCACCGTGTTCATATATTTTCAGCTTCGTATCTCCACTCGACGGTGCCCACAAGAAACCGTGAATAAAGATCACGCTTTCTCGGATCGTGACCTACGGAAACTCGATTCATGCAAATCCATATCAAGACGGATAATCGTTGGTAGAGACAGAACAAAGCAGTCAGCAGATCGATGCAATTTGTCATCGCGGGAGAAGCCGTTCGATCGAGGTCCTCTCGATCCTCTCGTTTCGAGGTACGATGGGAACTTGGGAACAACCTGTGCGTGTGCGTGTGCGTGTGCCTGTGAGAGAGAGGAGAGGAGAGGAGAGGAGAGGTGAGGAGAGGAGAGGTGAGGTTAAAGGTCACCGATCTTGCCACGGACTCGCAACCAAGAGTCTCTCACGACTCTGACCCTCATTACCACACAATTACTTCCTTTCCTTCGAGTAATGGCGTTCAGCCGTGATCCTGGAATTTTCAGAGGTCCTCTGAAATTCCGCGTCAACGGACTGCCGCTATAGCCTTCTTTCTTAGCTACGAGTTTCCTCCTCGCGTTTCACCGTTTCTACTTACTCTCTCGAAGCTTCGATGTTTCCCAGAGGGATAAACTTAACTCGTTTCGTACTTTATCGTCGAGGTACAAGTTTCCTACGTCGTTGTGTAAATGTCTTGTTGTTCTTTGCATTAAGTAGCGACCAAACGTTTAATTGTTACGTTACTCGAACGCGTAACGTTTCATCGTCCAAAGTCTCGGTATCGTTTGGACGAGGTCGAGTTTGCGACTTTGTCGGAGAGACCGTCGATTACAGGAAGGAAGGGAGGGAGGGCTAGCTGGCAAAGTAAGCCAGGGTAAACGTTATTAGAAATAGATACCCTACGGGTAAATGCACGCTTTCGGGGATGATTTAATAACGGGTTGGTCGAAGCTCGATCGGAACGTTCTTCCACGGTGTACTGGAAAAGGGTGCAGTATTTCCAAGAATTTAATCGATACTCGATACTCGAATGAATCCTCGCACACTCACGGAACACAGTTTCATCCGTTTAGTAAAGGATTCGAGAAACGTTTCAATTTTGTTGCGAATACCTTTTGCAGCATTACATTAAATAACATGAAATATTTGGACGCATTAAAAAAATAAAAATACATATTAAACGAGCGCAGCTCGATTTCTACAGGGGTCCGTACCATTTCCAATTGGAAATTCTGTGCGACGGCGCGTGTATGTTATCGGGTTCGCCATCTGACCCGGCTTCTCTCCTGTCTGGTGTTAATGAACCAAGGACGTAGAATACACGCGCGCTGCACAGGACACGCTGATATAATACAGTCTGATTTTGGATAGGAGCGCGACTGTCGGTTACCCGTATCCGTACAGACGTACGCGTATCCATGGGTTCGGTCGAGTAACGGTAATCGAGTCAAGAATCGAATTAGACGGAAGTCATCGTAGCGTTAGAGAGAGATTTAATTTTCAATTAGCATCGAACAAGTATGCGCGCAAACGAAATCTCTCGACATTACGCGACTGTTAACAGGACCATTAAGAACCGCTGAAAGGAGAAAAAGAAAGCGGCGGCACGCAAATGGGAGGGAAACAGGAATAAAGAAGAGCACGACGAGTCATTTATCCATCGACCGCTACGCACGGCACGCAATTTTTCCTCTTGCCGCGATCCATTCTGCAAGAGTGAGTCTCGACGACAAGTGCCGGCACTTTATACTCAACCGTACTACTCGCGTTGCGTCATTTAGAACAGCAACCGAGAGTAATTTTGCTAAAACGTTCGTGGAACGTAACCGAGTTCGCTGTATCCGTTACGAATCAGGTCGCATTCTTTTTCAAAAGCCCAACACTCGAAGAATGAACAACGAATGCTAATAGTCGGACGCTTACCTTGTTCAACGTCGATGCGTTTAAGTTTGCTTTCGTTCGGAAGACTCGTTTCTATTAAAACGGACGAGTGCGTGCGTTGGTCGGACGCAGGAAAAGAACGAACACGTTTGCGTTCGAACTAAGCGCCGTTTGTTTTAGTGCCACCATGTCGAGAACTCGTAAATTGAAAAAGTTTGCGACGATGCTTCACCGTCTAGTCGAGTAGTTCACCGCCGCGATTACGCCATTTTCCACTCGCGTGTGCCGCAATGCTTCGTATTTCAGCCGTACACCAACCAACGATCATTGAAATCCCTGAACGTGTAATTGTAAAACAGTCGATCGAAAAAAATGATGTCGATAAAAGTAACGAGGTGCGGAAGTTACAGCGTTATCGAGAACGTAACCGAGCAACTGTTGGTTTTTATTCGCGAATACGAGATTACGGCGATACCGTTGTAAATCCCAACCGTATTGTTCGATGAACGTAAACATGGTAAAACCGGTCGTTTCTGTACCTATTGTAGCTATGCATTTATATGCTATATTCGCGGTACAATAGGCTGCACTTTGTATGCTTTGAATGCTGCTCTGTACTTAATTACCTACTTGCGCTTCTTCGCCTGATACAAGTGTACTAAACCAGAGTATGCAATTGTCATGAAAAAAAAAGTACGCACGGCAACAGATCAAGAACAGCTTGGACTTTTCAAAAGCAGATACCGTCGCTATATGTACGTGTAATGTATGTACAGGGTGTCCCAAAAGTCGGGGAGGAGCCGGAAAGGGGGGGGTAGCTGAGACGATTCTGAACAACAATTTCCTTTGCAAAAATGTCGGAAGAGGCTTCGTTAAGGAGATATTAAGAGAAAACCTCGACCAATCAGAGCGCGCGTAGACCGTTGGAGCGGCCGCGGTAGCGAAGGCTACGCGCTGGCGGCCGCGCTTGTACGCGAACAAGAGACTCGACGTGCATCGAAGGACATTGACGCTGCCGCCTAGCGCGTAGCCTTCGCTACCGCGGCCGCTCCAACGGTCTACACGCGCTCTGATTGGTCGGGGTTTTCGGTTAATATCTCCTTAACGAAGCCCCATCCGACATTTTTGCAAAGGAAATTGTCGTTCAGAATCGACTCAGCTACCCCCCATTTCCGGCTCCTCCCCGACTTTCCGGACACCCTGTATATCGATAGGGGTTTACAAAGAACGTCCTTCAATTAAATCATACCGATTTCTATAGAAGTTGGCGTACATGTAGAGTCTACATTGTAGACTATCGAAAAAACGTGATACGCATAACAGGTATTATATATGCAAAGTGGTTAGATTGATACGTTACTCGTAATTTTGATAGAAATAAAAATTGTCGTATATGTGGCGTTAGCGCGACACGACGCAACGGAAGACGCCGCGAACGGATGGTACTATAATAAATTGAAAGCAGGTCTGAACCACCGCCGACCGGTGGGTTTCTAAGCAATTCGATTATACGTAGATCCCCTTGTTATCCGTGAAATAAAAACTAAGGAAAAGAAAGTCGATAAAATAGTTGAAGCGGTGGTTGTCAGGGTGCGAGGAGAAGTTCTGTAGCTCGGCAAACGATGGCGGGGTAGGAAAGGTGGGAGAAACCAATCAGAGGGTCGCGTGCGCGACGCAGATGCGCGCTACATTCGGTACGAGTCGCCGGGTTGCTCAGAGCGAGCGCGGACGTTGAGAGTGTCCCGTCGCGTCGCGTCGCGTTGTGTCGTATCGTAATCCTTGGCCCTTTTCGCTCCGAATCCTTTTTTGTTCGAGACGGTGCTCGTCGCGAGTGTTCCGTGAATACTTGGCCCGGACAAACAGTTTTCTCGTTGACAGAATCTCGATCGAAAATACCCGTACCTCGTTGCTCCGAATCGTGGAAGCTTTCGGGATAGAGCACGATTGACAGTGCATGCTAGTGAAACGTGCAGCAATCGTTCCCAACGTTGAAAGTTTCTCGTAATAACCGAACATGATCGATCAAACTACGTGTCAAGGACATGGGAAATCTGTGTCGCGTTCGCTAGTCGCCGGTGGTGCCGATGTACAAGTGCGAATTCGAGCAACGTAAATAGTAAACGTAGTACTCCGTTGTGTACCTTCCAGTAGTGCCGTGTCGAGTTGTTGATCAGTCGTTTTTGTAAATAGACCGAAAGCATCTGGTGAGAATGTAAAACTCTGTACGAATTAGTGTTATCGCGAGTGTTAGTATGCTGTAGTTTCGCGAATTTGACTTTACTCGAGGCACCTATGAGCACCGAAAGCCGCCAAAGCTGAGCTCAGGATTGGCTGCGGAAAGGTAAGCCATTATTTGTTATAATCGACGAGTCGCGATGCCAAAGGGCCGAGTACGTAAACCACGCTTAAACGTATTCGCGAGTACGGGCAATTTCTATATCGTCGAATCGCAAAGACGAAACAAGCTCCTTACGAGCCCTTGGTTCTCGATGCATCGAATTTCCAATACAGCTAGACGGTAAGGTACGCGAGTCGAATATCGAGATCGACGTACACTCGAAGCGTAAGAAATGCGAGAACGTAGAGTACACGGATACGTAATCGACGAAGAGGCAGTGTTGGCAATGTTGGCAATGTTGGCAATGTTGGCAAATGTTAGCGCGACAGCGATTACATAGAACTTGTAAGCCGCTCTATTTTTCACGAAACAAAATGCCGCGATCGTGACTCGAGTACGGGACTCGAGTATCGTAAAACTGGGCGCATAATTAAGATCGATAGCTCGAGATTAGATCCTGTAGAACGTTGCGGGTGTAAAGTAGCAAGGAGTCGATCGAGTGCTGCGGGAGAAAACGCTTTGTCCGAGGAAGGATCAAATAGCGCTACTTTGCTCTTCCATCGAGTCGATATCGATGTCGCGATACGTATAAAAGTAACGTAAGAATTTTCAAATGATACATAACGACACCTATTGTTTGCTTCTACGAATATACACGTACGCGTATACCGCACGCCGAGAACGTTTGCTAATTCAGGTAAACAAACCGTAAGGTCAATTGGCCGGATTCGATTGTTGATATCAAGTACAATGTGATAACATGACCGCAAGAAAAAATAAAAACAGAAGATGGAGACGAATACGGTGTCACTATGATGTAAAAGTGTTCAACCTTGATTTCGCGTCTGTAAAATTGCGACTATCGATATTTTAAAAACTAAAGGTGAGCCATGAAAGAGATCGATCGACATACTAAGGCTGTTTAGCCATCGCACACATTCTTGTGACACAATTTTGTTTCGCTACCGAGGTACGGTATGGGTTAATGTGGAAAATATCACTGCTACGAAGTCGTCTATTTGGAATATCGAAATTCAAAAGTTCTAGCATCCTCTAGCATCCTGGGACATACAATTTGACTGTTAATTATTTTAAAAAGTAGTATTATATCAGCTGCGGTTCCGCGCTGCTTAACACTTTATTTACCGGGAGCCTATTTATAGGCTTTTTGATTCCAGTATCAAGGTTTTTTGAATTTATTTACTGTGTTCATGGTTAATGGATGCTGGAGGAATTATTGTTAGCCTAGATTGGCATATTCTACTGTAGAAAATTCTTTTTAAATTAAAGGCTGTTTCTAAATAGCCCGGTAGAAGATAAAGTGTTAAGCGCGTGCATTCGCATAGTGCAAAGTATATTATCATATTCATGGTTCGCGATATCCATGGGTGTCCCTACCTTGTACGAAACGTGGCTCAAGAATTTATGCTGGACGCCTTAAAAAATGTTCGTAAGGCCAACTTGTATTTATATTTATCCAGAAAAGATGGTAGAGCGACGCGCGCGACTTATTCCCGCACGACCGTGGACGATTTAATCATAAATCCGTCGCTTGCAACTTCCCCATCGTATTTGCCGTCTGTATTAGATTAAGGTACATTGTAAGTTCTCTCGTTGTAAACTGGATTAGTTTGAGGTTACATACGAAAACCGTTTACTAAAATTCCGTGTTGCGTAACCGACACCTTCGCCTACGAGAAACGAAAACATACGGTGTTTACTCTTTTTATACGGATTCCTTGTAAACAGATTTTCATAATCTCGATTAACCTTTGCTCGCTTTTGCACGATCGATTAATTTCTATCGAATCGGTCGGTTTAGACGGTTGACTTTACGCGTTTACGGACGACGCGACGTCGACGCCAACGCCGACGTAACGGCCGTATCGAACACTGATAATTACCGCCGTTTACTCTCGTGAAAGTCACCATACCGTAAACTTCTCTTAGCTCATTCATCCTTACCGTGTTGCGTAATAATTGCTGCTTCTGCTGGCACGTGCCACGCGCGTATATTACCGGTCCCGGTTCGCACAGAATTCGTTCGAATGACCAAGAATCGCGCGTCTACACGCGATCCAATCCGACTAACGACGCTTTGGCGTGACGAGCTCTCGTAACGTTACGTTAATTTATCTACGTCGAGACGTTTCTTTTATCCCGTCATCGCCACGGTTTCGTGTCCCCTTAACCATGGAATTTACGATTTCTCTTCGTTTCGAGAGATCCACTCGATCGCTTAACGATCCAGATTGAATTTTGTACGGAACGCTGGTACGGCTTTTTTTTTTTTTTTTTAATAGAGAAAAGCGGACGGTGTTAACCGGACTATAACGAACGATTTTCGGTACGCGTGCTTTCGTTCTGATATCGGAGGCTAGTATCGAGTTGAACGAGGGCTGAAGACGGTGCTTTCCTCGCGGACCTGATGATATTTACCACCCTTGCCCTATCTCGAAGAATACAGCTATGCAGGTCGCGTATATTAAAGAATGTCGTGGAAGAGACTCGTTGATAGGTTACACCGTTACTTAGGAAAAGTCGCTCTAGGTCTCCTTTCACGTTTTCCCCCTTGCTTTTTCTTCGCATATACTGCCACCTTATCGCTGAAAATGATAAGAGTTTGTCGTCTCGCGGGACAAACGGAATCGAAACTTGTTGTAATTATTAACGTTACTATAGTTATCGACAGTTGGATAAAAGCCTCTCGAAAGTGTGCCACGACACGTCTTTGGCAAGAAATTTGCCAAAAACGATCGTTCGAATGCGGGTCTTGCAAATTGGGTTCGAAGCGTGTCCGATGGCCTCGGACGTGACGCGAAATTAAATTTGATTTAGGACCATTTCGAGTGGCTGATTCCACGGAAGCTTCCGGCTTTTGTTGACGCGTATCCTGTAGCGGATGTAGGTTACGACCTCGTATAACTCTTTTTCGCTGGCTTGGTGCTCGCGAAGCATGTCGTTTTCGGGTCATGCGATACTGTTTATTGATTCCGGAAATTAGTTTTCACGTCGGTCGTTTTCTCTAACTTATACAACCACCGCCCCCTTCATTCTCGTTCTAGTTGCTAAGAAATGTTCCGAGTGCGCGATACTCGTTTCGCAACTGTAAAGAATTGTTTGCTAGGCTATTAGTTTGGTTTCGCGGATGAATTACAAGCGGATCGCTCGTTGGAAGCCGATTTTTTCGTGGTCGAGTGCGCAGTCAGCCGGCCGCGGATCCGATGCGAAATAGGTCGAGGATTCTTAAAGAAACGGCGATTGCACTCGATCGTCGTCCAACGCCATTCTAACCCTTGAATCCTCGATCCTCGATCCTCGATCATCATCTCGTGTCCCGGACATAATCGAGTTGCATCTGTTGCATCTGTTGCATCGAGACGGGAAAATTTCACGAA